CGTCCCAAACCCTTGACTCATGGCATCGAGTACGTCCTTCAAAGAATCCTTCAAATAATCCTTCAACATTCTTTCAATATCCTCTTCGGTCAGCCCACCAACTGTGGTACTCACCTCTGGACGAGCCTCTGTAGGAACCTCTTCCTCTGCCTCTTCCTCTGCCTTTGTAGGTGGCTCTTCATTAGGCTCTTTACGAGTTTTCTTAAGAGGTCTTGGACTGTCTTCGTCTTCCTTCACCAGAACTATCGCTTTCTTCGCTGCCGGCTTTGTATTGACCCAAGTACCGGTGACTTCCCATCAATCCATGGTCCACTTCCACGGTCTCTGATTATACATGAGTTTAATTATGTTCTCCCCGACCGGGTCCTTAGCATCAGAGTCCCATTTTGGAAACATTTCACCAATGTCCTTCTCAACAAATTTTAGCACTCTAGCCTGCAGTAAATAGAAGATATAAACTTAGATATTTGACGGATTAAGAAAGATGGAAAGAAAAGACTTCACAGAATACTTATGATTAAGTCGTCCGGAAAGTCTTCCAGCTGGACGACTTATCAGATGACTTAATCATAAGTCGTCAGGGAAGTCTTCCAGCTGGACGACTTAGCAAACTACTTATTATTAAGTCGTCTGGATAGTCTTCCCGGACGACTCAATTATAATTCTTCTATTATGTCATCCAGCTGGAAGACTTTCCAGACGACTTAATATCTACTAAGTCGTCCAGTTGGAAGACTTTCTAGGCGACTTAATCATAAGTTTTCAAAAAGTCTTTTGGATTGAAGTAAATACATGTCTTTCAATAGCTTCTTTAAAGCATCTTCTTCCTTTGCCACCCTTGTAAGCCATTATCGGTGGAGATGGTCTCATTGGTATGGGATTAAGTATCACCCAATTCCGGCAGAGCTGTGTACACCATGACCTGGAGAGCTTGTATAAACTCATCAATCGTGTAAAAACCCAAAATATCTTTGCCCTTCACAGTGTCCATCAGGACCTTAAACGCGACTCTCCCCCATGGATAATTCTGAAATCATTTTAACTTCATCACTAGCATTGCCAGACTAACCCGTGTAGGGGTTGAAAACTTTATCCCTTCAATGTATCCAGTGAAGATGTCAAGGTACCCGAGCCGCTTTCGATCATCCTGAGACCACCCTTCTTATCTCTCAAATGCTGCTATTATATGTTGAGTAGTTGGCCCGACATCGACATGAACTCCCAGCAGCTCCCAAAAAGAAGCCAACTTCTTTGTAACAGAACAGTTTGGTCTCTCAAGTTTCTCGATGTACTCATAGTTTAGACCAGTGAGGTATTCAAACTCTAACAGTGAAAACCTCAAAGATTGTGGACCAACGAGACTCCACAGCTCATACTTCTTCTTTATGTCGAGCTGGAAACTGAGCATGTAGTGAACCAGCCTTGAAGCCCAATCAAATTCCAGCTCTTGGAACTTGATGAAAACTCCCAACTTAGACTCCTTCAGCTCTTCATATTCGTCATCATGAAGAGCATTCCTTAAAGCAGTATACAACTTTGTACGCGGATGATACGAAATGCTATTCAATGCGGGGGCTCTTGCCCTACTGTATGTATCCTACGGGGGAGTTCTGAAATATCCATTTTTTTCTACAAAACAATCAAAGACAACCATCTCAAACACACAATCATCCAGTATAACCTTTTTAATTATAAGTCTGGAAAACTTTTCCAAGCGACTTATAATTAAGTCGCCTGGCAAGTCTTCCAATTGAAAGACTTATAATTAATTTGTCCAAGACTTCCAGTTAAACATTGTAAAGCCGACCTGAAAATTCAGAGAAGGTATAGTCGCCTTCGACACAAAAGTTATAGATATGCAAAAATAGAAGTTAAAAAGAGAAGCGCGATGAGAACGAAGGTGAGAATGATGTTTTATGTTCTTATTTAGATATAACTTACCGGCGGCAAAGTTCGAAACGCCTCTAAGAGAAACGACGCTAGGATTTACAGAGAAATGAGGCTTTACAGAGAAACGACGTTAGGGTTTCCTCTCAGATCTGAAATAGAGGAAGCAGTGGTGATGACGACGGAGAGATAACCGGCGGTGAGAATGATGGATTAGAGAGATTCAACATAAATCTTCTTTGAAATCACCTTTGAGAGAAATGACGTTTGGATTTTCTGAATTTCGCGAAAAAATGAGTAAAAAAACATCTTATACATGTCTAGTAGAAAATCTGGTTAGTTTTAAAAGTAAATTGGTAAAATCAAAGGTTCGGCCCAGTTTGGATGACTTATTAGTAAGTCGTCGGATGAATACTATACATGAGACGACTTACTAGTAAGTCGTCTGCCTTAAATATATTTACCAGACGATTTAATAGTAAGTCGTCCAGACCGTAAACCCTAAATTAAATTGACTACATAAACTAATTAACTACGTTATAAAATCAAATTATATTTAAATAGTGTTTACTATACACAGAAATAAACACACTTAGGTAAATTTTAAATTTATCAAAAAACATTTATGTTTTCGAAAATCTGACCCTAAGAAACACATACAATACTACAACATATGTTGGCAAAACCTAAACCAAAGAATATCATGACTCACTACTTTCACTCATCTATGTTGAAAACAATCAAATTTGGTTATATCTTAATTTATATCACTTAAAATATATGTTAATTACAATTTTTCACTTATCAAAATATTTTTAAATTTTTTTAAAAATTATTTAAGAATAACTATACTAGACGACTTACTTGAAAGTCATCTAGACAGAATAGTTACGGGGGTTAGAAACGTAAAAAAAAATTGAGTTTTTTGTTTCGTCATAAAAAACTGTTTGTAATTTCAATAGTCTTTTAGATTACTTTTACATTTGATTCAAGTTTTAGTTTACTATTTCATTTGCAACAAAATTTTGAGTCATATTTGGTAAGTTTTCTAAAAAATAACATGTTAATATATGAATAGTATCATAATACCAAATTGCATCAAATTATAAAATTATTAATATTACATTATGTACAGATAAAATAATATTATCAAACATTTATATTATAAAATAATATATTCTATTCTATATGTAAATTACAAAACACAAAAGATACGCATATGATTTTTTTCTAAAACGAAAGGCTTATAAATTTACTTTTAAACAAGTTAAATTAAACGCTCGCATGGACACGGTCAAGTTCAAGTTCTAGTTTGAATTATATGCGTGTGCACATACATACATACATCTCCATCATACATACATACATACATTTTCATCATACCTAAATGAACATAATCTCGCTTTTTGTGATTTTATAGGATTTTACAGTATTTTTTGTTGAAGAAATTATAATTCTATTATAGGTTTGATATCATTTTCAAATTTATCATTAATGAATAACTATTTTCACAATATATTAAATTTGTGATAAAAATAACACTAATCTATTTTTAGAAAAAAATTTGTAGAACATATATAAATCCAACACCAACTTTTTAATATTAAACCTTAAATAATAATCACTAAAACATAAACTTAAAGGTTAGTATATTTTTTGATTTGTGATATTTAACTTATGATATTTCTAATGATTTTTTCATTTTTTTTGCAGTCTGTTTTCTCTATGGTCATGTTTGACAACAAGATTATATAACTTAATACTCCCTCATTCCCAAAAACCCACATTTTAAAAAATGTTTCAAAAATAAATTATTTATATTTTCAATGTGTTATTTAATGGTAGATTTTAATATTCAAAAAGATAATTATATGTATTGAAGCTCTATATATGTTAATTTAATTAATTACAAAATAATGCATTAATAATAAAATTATAATATATTTTTCTTAAATGCGTGAAAATTATAAAAATTACATCTTTTTGAAAAATAACAAGTACATGTCATCACTGATATAAAAATCAATTTTGGAGACAAAAAAATGTTGTTGGTTGTGTATTGAGATGTCTTACACAATTTTAACAAATTATTACATGACACAACAAAATATGTATATCTTTAATTTAATAAGATAATTTATATCTATAGCTAACTTTAGGATTCCTTAAAAAAAAGAGAATATATTTAATAGTTGGATTGAAGGTTTAGTGTTTAGTAATTAACCTGTTCAAAAAGATTAATTAGAAGAGAGGGACAACTAGAGATACCACCTGATAGAAGAAATAAAAGGGCGTATAATGGGAGTGTAAAGAAAGGATAGAGATGAGATGTCAGGCTACGATAATGGAGCAATAGTTTTCTCCACTTGGCTAATTTAATATCTAACACGAAAAACTAACTTTCCCGAAATCTAAAAAGTATTTCTGTGTATAACCCAACAAAAATTCTTAGTGTATAACCCAACAAAAATTCTTAGTGTATAACCCAACATCATGCTGTGCTGTAAAAGTTGTGTAACGTAAAAATATTAACTAATACTTAAGATAAAACAATGGATGCTGAGTATTTCGAGATAAGTCCAATAGTGACAGAAACATATTTCAAACAACAAAAATACATACAAATAAAAAATATTAAAATACACTTTTTTGTGGACTATTAAAATACAGTTATTATATGACCAAAGTTAGAATATTAATATATTATTAATCAAAATATCTTCTTCTTTTTAAAAAAAAAAACAATCTTTATTTTTACATTTATACTTAACAAAGGGGGTAAAAGTATAGTAAGCTATGGTTGATATACATTTAAGAGAATATCGCAAAAGATATGGAAAATAAATTTTAGTGGAATTATATAAAACAATTATAGAATATAGTTTTGAATATAATTGAAAAAAAAAAGAAGGAAAGGCGAAGGAGGTTCGGTTGGTCGACTTTGCTAAGATAAGAGAGAGACTGACTCTCTCTCTCTCTCTATACCTTCTCTGCAAGAAAACTCCTCTCTCTCTCTCTAAAACCCATTTCTTTCTCTCTCTCGAAAAAGCTCCAAGCTTTACTCGAAAAAGACGCTCCTTTTTCTCTTCTAGCAATTGGGTATTCTCACGATAATGGCAATAGAAGATCAAGAGAACACAATCCGCGAATTCAAGCCTAAGAACAGAAGAATCATGGTACTTTAAACAATACTCTGTTTCTAGATACTTCGTTTTGCTTTTGCTTTCCATATAATGTGCAATGGTTTGTGTTTTCTGGGTTTGTGATTTTGATTTTGAATATTGAAAATGGCTAAAAATATTCACCTTTTGAAATTTCAGTCTCTTCATCAAAGTGCTCTGTTTCTTGCTCTGTTTCTTGTACCTAACAAAGGCGTTTGCTTTTCTCTTAAAGAATCCAGTGCACTAGTGCTAACGAATCTCGAACATTCCTGGGTTTATTACGATTCTTTTTATAAAGAAAAGGAGAATCATATTATAAACTTATCAAACAAGATTAATATCAAAGAACTTGAAATGAAGATTTTAAGAGATATGTTGAAATCTTCTCTTAAGGTTTTATCTTATACTTGTGATTAATTTCTGGAATAAATCATTAAAATTGAATATTTGTTTTTTTCTTTTTTTTTCTTGGTGTAGGGAGCTGGTGGACCAGAGGAGGAAGATAACAGGTGGCCACCATGGCTGAAACCTCTGCTTAAAGAGCATTTCTTTGGTCATTGCAAGTTTCATGTAGACTCTCATAAGAGTGAATGCAATATGTATTGCTTAGACTGTACCAACGGCCCTCTTTGCTCTCTTTGTCTTGCTCATCACAAGGATCATCGCACCATTCAGGTCCGTTCTTGCTATAATTCAAAGTAGACCCATCAAAAGATTTCGATATGTTTTGATTGTTGATTTTTGAGTATGTGTTGATTGTTTTTGGCAGATAAGGAGATCATCTTATCATGATGTTATAAGGGTGAATGAGATACAAAAGTATCTTGATATCTCTGGGATCCAAACTTATGTGATCAATAGTGCTAAAGTCGTCTTCTTGAACGAGAGGCCTCAGCCTAGGCCAGGGAAAGGCGTCACCAATACCTGCAAGGTTTGCTATCGTAGCCTCGTTGATGATAGCTTCCGCTTCTGCTCTCTTGGCTGCAAGGTACAGTTTTTCAACTTTTCATTTTTACCAAGTCAAAAGGAAGAAACTTTGGTTTTGGGTCTACACTTGTTTTCCCCCTTTACACGTTTCAAAACAACAGATGAATGAGTAAAATCCTCACATTTAATGGGAGTTCTTACAGTTTCACCTAACATTTTTGGGTTAAATTCAACTCCCTTTTAACCGCCCAAGGAAAAATATGAAATCTTTTTGAAATGGGTCATTTTCAAATTTTGATTTATGGTTCTCAGATTGTCACCTAACTTTTCCAAGCATTTCATTTAGTCTTGTCGAGGAAAAGATCAAAACTTATGATAAGGGTCGTCTTTTTCTTGCACATTCTAGCTCTTTCTCAATAATCATTGTCTGATTAACTCTAATTTTCTATGTTTTTGAAATGAAGATTGCTGGATCATCTAGAGGGTTTGAAAAGGGAAGGAAGAACCTTTTGATGGAGACAGAGGATTCAGGGAGTTTCAGCCCATCAACGCCTCCACTTACTGCATCTAGTAGTTGCAGAATTGCCAAGCGAAGAAAGGGAATCCCTCACCGATCTCCAATGGGATAATAAAGAAGCAGCAAAAGAGCTAAAGCCAATAAAGAAGCTTTCGCCATTTGCCAGTTTCTTGATCTATAAAGATTACTACACAGAAATGTATAGCTAATACATAAAGCTTTGGTCTCTTATTTTGCTGCGTTAGCAAAGAAAACAAAGGCCTTATAGATTTTGTCCTCTACTAATGGTAAGTCTGTGAATATGTAATGTGATTTGTATATTTATGTGATGCAAAAAGGGTAGAAAGGGGAATATAGGGCTTTTAAGGGTTAAAAGTGGGAATAAAACAAATATAGCTTTGGTTTTCATTATGTACACATGGTGTAAATGTGATTTGGTTAGGTGCATATGGAATAACAAATAAATAATGATGAGACTTATCACCTTTATATTCCTCCGTTTCTATACTTCTAAGCGTATTTTTTTTTGTTAATTACAAGAATCATTTGTGTGTTTTAAATGCCTAATAGTATCTAACTTGTGTCAAAGTATTATACTGAAACAGACGAGCATTTTATCAAATGTATGAAATTATTGGTTTGAACGATTCATCGCAAGAGTTTGGACTTAGAAAGACAGATTATACTTAGAACGATTCATCACCAGAGTTTGTACTTGGAAAAGAAAGATTATACCTTATGGTCCTTATCTAATAGAACCCCTTTTTTTTTTTGTCAAACAATAGAACCCCTTTTGTTTTGTTTTTAATTATAGGCCACTCTAGATATACTAATAAATACAACTTTTGTTTTGTTTTTAATTATATGCCACTCTAGATATACTAATAAATACAATTCTTGTATGGTGTATTAATTATCATGGGGCATTGTGTTGGAAAGCATTTGGTGGGGAAGGTGTAATTTGCTTTCTCTTTTAACGTTTCTGAGAAATGGAACCATTTGGAAACTGGAATAAGTATAAGAGAAAGTAGACAAGAATATATGTCATTTCTCTAATAGGAGAGAACCTAGCTAAAACTCTTACCTATAAAAATGGACAAATTGATCAAATCTACGTTTATTGGTGTAGACAAACCTTGTTAAAAGCGTGACAAAATAAACATATTAAAGCAAATACTGTAAAACCAAAAGCAAATCATCTAATAGAAATCAAGGTCGAGTGACATAATGGTAAAGGTGTTAGGGCTGTAACTATCATCATCTAGATTTAATTTGTATTAAAAAATTATTTATAATAATTGAATGACTAAATTCTGGCAAAGAAGTGAAATCACAAATTTTTACCGAAAAATTCATCTAATAGAATAAATTATAATAATTTAATATTATGTGATGATTGCGATATTATCATTTTAGATTTTTTTTTAGAAAGTTAAATAAATATGTAGACAAAACATATTTTCAAATTTCAAACCTTTAAGCTGAGAGGATGTATGTATAATTGAAAAACGAACAGAATGATAGATGCATCAATTATATATTATATGTATGCGTAAAAGTTCTGTCAGCGTTCGGATACCACTTATAAGGTAATGGTATTCAATTATTATGGAATCTAACCTTTCGACCTATTCATATGATTCATTTATCTTTTTCATGACTCAAAGATTTTTCACACAGTTCACAGTCGCATCATACTACCTTTGGAGTAGATTCAGAGATTCACAACATCTACTATGAAGTATCGGAAAACACCTCAGATGTGGTTTACAAGATTATTACTCTCTGTGTCCTAAGTATACAAACCCTAGACAGTATACTAAGAGATAATACAAGAGATTACATGGCTAAGAGCTAAGATTGGAATACATATCGATCTTTAGCTTACTCTAGCTCAATAAGAGATACCACGGAAGCACTCCTCTGAGGCTCTCTCTGTCGTAATCTCTTCTTCCTCGTATTATCAACATTTAACCTAATGGGCTTTAATGAATAGCCCATAATTTATCCGCGCGTAAATTGTCCAAAACCGGTCCAAGTTGAACACGCCTGATGGACTTTGACCAAACCTCACAAAACTCCATCTATTTGGTTAAAGTCCATAACCCTTCATTTGTGATGCCACCATATATTCAAAACTCCACCGGTTTCTTTTCTTTAAATGCAATCGATTTTGCTTTGCATTTAAACCTTCATGAAGCTTCTTTCAGTTTCATGAGTTAAGTTTAAGATGAGCCTGCTTGTGGAGAATAAGTCTTACCCTTCCTAAGATAGACAAACTGTAAGACAATTCCCTGCAATCTCTGCAATGTCTTCCAACAGCTTCTTACTTTGTTTCATCTCACAATTTTTCATCTTCACCGCTCAATACTTCGGTTTAACTAAGCACTTCATCATGTTTTACCTTGCATCATACTCGGCTCCTCTGTATCACCTTCACTGCAGTATACTCTTGATACATATGCCATTTTCACTTGTCTCACCTACAAGTAACCTTATGTAAGACTCCTCTTACAAACTCCTTCTGATATGCCTTGTACTTAATAACTGATCTTGACACTTCTGGCCTTGACACCTTGAACATATCGTTTTATCATCACATCGTGACCAGCGGACTCTACGAGGTCGAAACGAGGTCCCGGAGATCGCGGAAGCAGCTGGAGAACGAAGGACTATAAAAAGAGAGCTAGGAAGGACATTCAAGAAAAGAGAAAAACCTATAGAGCTATTCACTAATCACATCGACCTCATTCCTTAGATTTCTAGTTCGCTTTCTTGTAATCCTTGTTGTTATTTCTAACCTTGTTCATCATCTTGTAAACGAATTCTACATTCAATAAAAGTCCATTTTTGTCAACCGATATCCGATTATATCGTTGTGTTTAAGAGCATCGTTGCCCACATCCTTTGTCTTCCCCTGATTGAACTCTCGATCTCTACAAAATACTGAGTGTGGATTTTAGGATCTACATTTTGGCGCCGACCTGTGGGGAAGATAAACGAAAAACACCCTTGCTGAGAACCCGATCTACGATTATTAAGAACAATTATGGACCTCAATCAGATCCGCTCCGGATATCCGAAAACAAAAGCAGCTGAACGCGATCTCTCAAGAGCCGCTGTCATCGCGACGTCAGCAAAAACGCGACCATCCGACGACGATAGTGGCGGCTCATAGAAAAGAAGAGCTCCGCATAGGGAAACAAAACCACTCAAGGAAGCTCGACAGCCATCAGAGACCCAGAAGGGAATCTTAACCTTCTACGAACACGAAACGGTCAAAATCGATATGCCACACGACGATGCCCTGGTCATTACAATCAATCTCGCTGCAGTAACCGTTACAAGAGCTTTCATCAATACAGGTAGCGCCGGGAACATTATACCTAGAGACACGCTCCGACTAATAGATCAAGGTGGCCACACCATTCAAGGCGAGATAGATTTCCACGTTGACTTCGACGGACGAAAGTGCGATTCCCGGAGACCGTATCCATCTTGACTGGAGTTCAAGATTTGGAATTAAAATCCAAATTTGCTGTCTCCGAACACCCCATGCATTTTGACGTTGTTTTGGGGAGATCGTGGTTACATGAAATGAGGGCAATCCCATCGGTCTACCACCAATGTGTGAAATTTATGTCACCTACCGGAGAAAGAATGATTTACAGCAGTCAGAAAAAATACAGAGCCTGCTACTTGGCGGAATTCTGAAAGATGCACCCGCAAGAGAAGAAAACCTCATCTACTCGCGATCTCGTGATCAGGAAAAAATGATGAAAATTTTCCGAGTTCGATTCCACTCGACGAACGATTTCCCGATAAATGCGTCAACATCGGAAACGACCTCCCTTCAGATATAAGATGCGACTTGATGTCGTTCCTAAAAAAGAACATCAAAAAATTCGCTTGGACAGCCGCTGATATGCCCGGGATCGATATCACGATAACGTCTCACCAGTTGAACGTCGATCCTACCCACAAGCAGGTCAAGCAGAAGCGAAGGAAGTTAGGCCCGAAGCGCTCAAAGGCCGTAAACGAAGAAGTTGAAAAACTCCTTAAGATCGGATCCATCCGTGAAGTCCAGTACCCAGATTGGTTGTTCAATCCCGTCGTGGTAAAAAAGAAGAACGGGAAATGGAGGGTCTGTATCGATTTCACCGATCTCAATAAAACATGTATAAAAGATAGCTTACCACTACCACACTTAGATCGGCTTGTGGAAGCCACAGCCTAGCACGAATTACTATCATTCATGGACGCCTTTTCTTGCTACAACCAGATCCCTATGGATCCAGAAGACCAAGAGAAAACGAGTTTTATTACCGACGTGGCACCTATTGCTATAAGGTAATGCCTTTCGGATTAAAGAACGCAGGAGACACCTACCAACAACTAGTAAACAAAATGTTCGCCGTACAGCTCGGGAGAACGATGGAAGTGTACATCGACGACATGCTCGTTAAGTCATCAAAAGCAAACGACTACGTCCTCTAACTCCAAGAATGCTTCCAAATTCTCAATAAATTCGGAATGAAATTGAATCCGACAAAATGCACCTTTGGGGTAGCCTCAGGAGAATTCCTCGGGTCTTTAGTAACATAAAGGGGGATCAAAGCTAATCCGAAGCAGATTATGGCGTTGGTAGACACTTTGCCGCCAAAGTCAATTCGAGAAGTGCAGAGATTGACTGGAAAGATCGCCTCGTTGAATCGTTTCATCTCTAGATCGACCGACAGATGTCTTCCATTCTACAAACTCCTGAAAGGGAACAAAAAGTTTGAGTGGAACGAAGAGTGTGATCTCGCGCTAAAAGAACTTAAGGCATATATAAGCCAACCCCCGGTATTGTCAAAACCGACCGAGGGCGAGATATTATTCATGTACGTAGCAACTTCCGAACACGCGGTCAGCAGTGTACTTATCAGAGAAGAAAACGGTGAGCAGAAACCGATATATTACACCAGTAGATCTGTGATAGACGCTGAGACAAGATATCCCGCGATGGAGAAATTAGCCTTAGCAGTTGTCACGGCTGCGAGAAAACTGAGGCCGTATTTTCAATCGCACTCAATCACGGTAATAACGCCGCAAGCGTTACGAACCATCCTT